AGATAGATAGATAGATAGATAGATAGATAGATAGATAGATAGATAGATAGATAGATAGATAGATAGGCATAACTATTAAGAGTAGGATTTTTTTACAACAGTGGGATATAAAACAATAAAGAAATAAAATGTGTCATTCAGTAATCTGAATTCATTGGGAATGATCACTTCTTGATAAAACAAAAGGACATTGTTTAGGAATGAATGGGTGCTGAATGAATGAGGATTTAATAAAAAGGTGAGACAAACAAGGTACATTGAGGTGATTTGGACACTGAGAAAGAAAGAATGAGGTTCAAGTTTTAAAATAAATATAGAAAGAGTAAACAGGTTGGGAGAAAGTGGAAGATTAAGGAAGTTGTGATCTGATATGAGAATTTAAAATAATAAAAGGCAATATATGACACTGTGGAAAGGGAACTTCACGAGGACAGTGGTGTCACCCAAGCAGGAAAAGCCCAAAGGGAACATCAGGCCAGCCATAAAACAAACTTGCATAGGAAAAGGAATCAAAATAAAAGGTATTAAAGAAGCCCCTTAGACAAAAGCCCAAATAATTAAGAAAACTAGGGAAACAAGAAAAGAAAACCCTTACAAACACAAGACATGCCAAATCAGCAAAACAAACAGACAAAAGACACAAAATATATCACAAAGGAGACAGACAGGAGATTGCTACAAAACAAATATAAGAAACAGTTAAGCTAAAAGAGATTAGGATGAAACCGATAATACAATCAAACCACCCCGCAAAGTTTGCCTTCCGCACCCCGCAGAGTTTACCCTCCGGCGGAAGGGTAAACAAGACAACCCCTGACAGGATTTAAAATATTAAGAAATACAAACACAAGTACTCACACACAAAAGGAGAAAAGGGGTATAAAAATCAGGGACTTACCATACGAAGCTTGCTAGCCCATGAACGCAGACTTCTTGCTATCTCTCGCCTTCCTGAAAAATAAAAAGATCCAGCTTTCAAGCAGTTGTCCGTATCCTTGTGCTCTCCCAGCGGGAAAATTGAATCCTCAGAAGAAAGGCATTTTGACAGCCTTTCAACAACACCAAGTATCGATATGTTAAGTGCAAAGATAGTTTATTCAGATATAAAAGTATATTGAATATTGTTGTAAACCAGATTCTGCTATATTTTCCTTTTTTATCTCTATTTTTGGTTTATTCCTTTTTTCATTTTGCATATTGTTAAATTATTTTTAAAAGTTACATAGTTAATGTGAACTATTAATTTCCCAAATTAAACACATCAGAATTCCTTGTATTTCTATATTTTCCTAGTGACCTACTTCTATGTGCCTTGCATATTTCAAGAAAATTGAAAGTAGTGATAATTGCAAGGAGGCTTCAAATTACAACCAAAGGAGAGATCATTAAAGAACCTAAGCATAATTGACAATGAGAAATTTAGAAGATGAGCAACTATATCTCCTGACCTCTTTTTGCTGTTCCTTGCTATTGCAGAAAGGGATATGGGATTTGTTTCCAAACAAAGGTCAGGAGAACTATCTTTTGCACACCATGTCTCCCACTGAAGCCTTATCCATAGGTCCTTGGAGACTGACTGGAACAAGGAGTTACAGCTCTGATGGCAAGCATAGATGTGACTCCTGAGTGTGTAAATCCAGAGGCCAACAGCAATTCTGGGTCAAAACCCAAAGAGGAACACACATGTGAGGGAAAGTGATTGATTCACAAATCACTATGGCTGTTGAATAGACAGTCTTAATTGAATCAATGCAGTCCATCTCGTTTAGGGCATGACCTTGAAGCCTGTGATATGAAAATGGTTTGTGGAGGTGATCCAGTACTGAAAAAAACTGTCTTGACTTTGTGTATTCTGATTATCAGCTGCCCAAAAACTTGCCTCATTCCCTATGATTGTATTTATACTTAGATCTAGTATTTGGTCCTTATTTTTTCCTAAACTTTCTTGTATGAAGAACTCATCTGCTCACTTTAGGATGTTGATAGGCCTTGTTTCCATTGTAGTGCAAACCAATTCTCTTTAGTATAAACTCAGGAAACTTGGTAATTCTCAGGGGGGAAAGGTCAACATTGCTATCATGAAAGGTAACTTCCTGTTTTAGTTAAGAAACACAAATTTTAAAATGTTTTCTGGAATAGATAACAAGAGCTGCTTATAAAAATCCATGGAAATTTCCAATTTATTGAGGTATATCAGAAAGAGCAAGAAATAGATTTCTGTTCTTTCTAGAGGTAAAGCTAAAAGTTTTTCCTGTCCAGTTGTGTCTGACTCTAGGAGTTGGTGGTGTTCATCTCTGTTTTTTAGCCAAGGTGGCCAGAGTTGTATGAAGACACTTCCATGGTCAAACGGCCAGCATGACTATACTCTGAGAGCTCATTCTATTGCATGGTGCTGAGATCTTTTTTGCTCTTTCTAATTCAAGTCTTAAATTATTGTATAAAACTAAAAAAAAAAATATGGCTTTCCAAACAAATATAGCAAAAAAACCCTACTAAATGTTGAAATGAATAAAGTCAAAATAATTCACAGACCATTGACCTCTAATTATTAGGACTAGTGTGTTGTAGTTTTCAGCCCAGCCTCTATTTTTCTAACTCAGCATTAATGTGAAGAAAAAGTTCAGCATAACAAATGCTATCATCAGCTTGATTTCTGTCAGCTCAGATTAAACTTGGAACTAGTTTCAAATTCTGATTCATTGAAATAAACCGAGACAGGAAAAAGACGATCATTTCAGTGAAATAAAAACCGGGGAAAACCAACTCTTCAGATAAATCACACATTTCAGGGTGATGTATAGATATTTCTACATGTGGAATTTAAACAAAGAACAGAATAATTTTTAACAAAAACAGTGATCTTTTCTACTACTGAGAATCTAAAAGGAGAGAGAAGCACCGTCTTTTCTTCAGGATAAAACTTCGTTCCTTGAGAGTACAAAACATTAATTTTAGCATCTAGGTTCGTGAATATGAAAATAGGCATTGTGGCTTTCTGTCTTTTGTGTTGCTGCTTTGAAGCTTTGCATGGTAAGTGATATGGCAGATTCTGTTGACAGCAATTTCCTTTGGTTGTGATTTTATTGAGTTTAAAGACTGCATAAGAAATGTTTAGAAGCAGTCACCCTGAAGTACGGTAAAGAACAGGCATTTACACTATGAAAAATTGAATCATTCTCTAGCTATAGGACCAAATTTATCTGTTGATATTTCTTATGTGCCATTGTTTAGTTTACTAAAACTGTATCCACTAGTATATTATTATAGGAATGTCTTTGAACAGAGTTATAATAATCATTTTAAATTTATTATAAAAGTTATATTAAAAAACAACTCCAGAAAATGATTGCCAACTTTGTCAGGTATATTTTAACAAGAGACAAACTTTTCTCAGTTGGAATTCCTTGTCTATGGAAGGCCTATGTCCAATACAAGATTTTCAGTATATTGTTTAGTTGGTTTTTAAACTGTTTCCAACCTTGTGCTTATATCAGATAAAGTTGGCTTTACTTTTTTTTTTTTTACTTTATATCTATTTTTGACTCCTGGATTATTCTGAAGTATTCTAGTTACATGTGTGAAGGACCACCATTTTACATAGGAAGTCTAATTCAAAATCTCCTTTAATTCACTGAGACTTACCCCCAGGTGAATATATTTTGGAGTATTGCTTTAATTTGCTTAGATTATATTTTAATAATGATGGTTGTCCAAGAAATACACCCTTTGTGTGATCCCATGGTGCTTCAAAACTATCAGTGTGGAAGTCAGGAGTTGGCAGTGTATGATGTGCTGCATGTGAATAGAAGACGTAATGATGTTGTCTTCTGATCTACATGATAGACTCTAATTTTGCTCCATGGAATACCACCATTTATCCCCCAAAATAGAGTGATGAAAGATCATTGATGGTTGGCCAGCTATATAACTGTGGCAATTTATTTGCAAGATTTACTTTATACCATTAAGTAACATAGGAACATAGGTGAGATTAAAAAAATCAGCAGACCAATAATTGTTTGTACAGAAATTAGTACCAAGCCTCCCCCCCAAAAAAGATGATGACATCTTGTCACCTAACTATTAAGAAAGCATTCAGCACATCTTTTCTCATCTCCAAACCTTGCATATGAAAGAAATGCCTCCACTAATTCATTTTTACTATTTGAAGCAAGCTGCTAATCTTCCAAGGAGGTTGTGCAAGAGCACATCATGTTTTTTAGATGTGGTGAAATTGCACTTATCAGAATTCCCAATCTGCATCACCATATGCTGATTTGGAATGCTGGGGGTTGAGGTTCACACAGAATGGGAGAGTGATGCCTGTTGGCAGGCTAAAGAAGTGGCCTTAGGACTGTGATAGTTCTGCTACTTCATTTAGGTTCATTTCTTTTTTTTTTTTAAACAAATTTTATTGATTTTAAAGACAAACAAAACATAAGACATCAAAGTATAAAACCTCCTTTCTCAAAAATTACTTATAAGTTTTAACAAAGCAAATAAGGCATTATTTTTTAAAGCATAGTTCCACGTTATCACATTTCCATTTAAACACATATATATCTTTTCCAAATTTCTCGTTGTTTCTCCCTTCACTTTTATTCAATTATATTTCTTTCTATCAAGGTTTTATTAATTCTCCATCAAGCATAAACACACAAAATACAGAATATAAAACAAAACATAAAAAGATAAAACCTTCTTAATTATTATTTATACATGTCTTTTCCAAATTTATCTCCCTTTAGTTTTATTCCTCCAAGGTTTTATTAATTCACAATCAAAACATAGCTAACCAAAACACAAAACATAAAACATAAAACTTCTTTTGAAAAGTGGCTTAGCCCCGGGTTACATCTTTTTTGACAGACCTAAATCAAGTTCGTGCTCACCTTATATACCATTCATATCTTATTAACCATTCTATATTTTCTATATAACTTCTCCCTTCTTTTCACTCTCTTAGTTATATTTTGTTTATTTCATCTTATTTCAGAATCATTATATTTGTATCTTTTATCTTTTCCAATCATCTATTTATCTCTTCTCTTTAGCAAAAGAATTTCCTCTGTAATCACTTTTAAGGTGTGACGCCTTTCCCTAAAGTAACACTTAAAATAACACATAATTTCTATCCTGATTCTGCTTAGTACATTCTACATGTTGCATTTTGAAAAGAAAAAGAATAATAAAATAATTATAATATAATTAAATATATAATTTCCATTCTAATTCTAATTCTATTAATAGTATAACTAAACATTAATCATTTTACACATTCTCTTTGATATTTTATTAAATATTGAAATCTATCATTATAAAACATTTTAATATTTTAATATTTTGTTAAATCTTATAATATTCCAATAGACTATTTCAAATGCAAATACTACAATACTATCATGTACTCTTGCAGAATCTTTCTTAAATTATACATCCTTTATCCTTTATCTCTAAAAAAAATATCTTGTTCCAGACCGTGGCTTTTTTTCCCTTTTTCCCTCCCTTTCTTCTCCAGTCTGATCTTTTTGCCCTCCCTTCTCCTTATCTCCACCTTTTTAGCTTCCCTTCTCTCTTGTAATCCTCTTTTCAATTGCTTTCTAACATTGTACCTTTTTTCACCTTATTTTTCTTTTTCTTGGTTGTTTTATTAAATCTTAAATTCTCATTTTTCCTTCCTCTCTTCTTATTTTCTTTCTTAATCAAATTTTTTTGTCCATTAAAAATGGCTTCCTTTTCTTCTTCTCCTCCTTCTCCTTCTTCATCAAGTATTTGCTGGTACGTAGAAACCGCCATTTCTAAAAAGTGGAAGACAGCTCCCAATGAATTCTTGCCATTTGGTTCTCTTTCTTTTAATTTTTCATATTCCATTTTTAGTTGATCCAGAGATGGTGCCATTGTAATTTTTTTAAAAACAACCCAGATGTTTTTAGTCTTAAGGTAATTTGCAAATGTCAAAGTTATCAAACAGTCCAAACAGCCAGAAATTATTTCCTCTTCTTCTCTTTGCAACTTTTCCTCCTGGGGCAAAATCCCAAATATATTTTAAAGCCGTATTACAATTAGTTGTTGGTCTTATAATCTTCAAAGTGTCTCCTCCAACCAGTTTAAAAAGATTTTTTTTTAGTCCTCTCCTTCCCACTTATAACAAAGAGCTTGTTTTTACCTTAAAGCAGCAGGTTTTTCAGTGCTCATTTGCTTTCTCCGTAAGGAAGGGGAGTGAACTTTCCTTTCAGCACTTTCGCCGTTTTAACAACTTTTTTTGGAAACAAATGTATCAATCCAAAAGTCAGGTTTCCAGGGTGTTTAAAAGTATCTTAGCCAAGGGTGTTTAAAAGTATCTCAGCCAAGAAAACTTCTTCTGATTCTTCCTCCTGCGCAACTCTTATCCGGTTGAAGATTTCTATGTGGCTGCCATTTCTGACAGCCGCTCCACCGCCTCAGGAAAAAGGAGTCTAGCCGGCTGGGGAAAGGGGGTGCCCGGATCTCCTCTGTCTTCCGCTGCCTCTTTGGGGCAGCGACAACCCCCAAATCCAATTGGATCGGGGGTACCTCAGCGGCGAGCGCAGCAGGGACCCACAGAGAAGCGGATTCCTGCCGCCGCCGAAGCCTTACAACCGGAAGTTCCATTTAGGTTCATTTCTGTAAAGTCTTAGAAATTAATAAGAAACCACATCTTTATTTATTATATTATTTCTATATTACTATTAGCATTTCAGATTTTTAAAATTATACTTTAAACAAGTCAAGCATCATTTGACTGCGATAGGCACCATTTTTCAGTCATTGATTGGCAATAATTATAAATTAATTGGAACAAATGCTTAAGGTTTTGCAAGAGCTATGATTTCTTTGGGAAACACAAAATGAAAAAGAGGCTTTTGATCATTCATTTATGCTTTTAGCATTATAGTTATGAATCCAATAGATCTGATATTCTGCTTTTAATCAAATCTATTAACAGATAGACTAAGACAGCTGAAGTAGATAAGAGAAAAAAATTGCATGAAAGAGTTAAGAGTCATGTACCAGCTGAACAAGGAGCTAGAGTTTCAGCAGTTATTGCTTTCTTATCTTGTTGTAGTCAACTGTTCCCATTTGCTCTTGAGATTACAGCTCAAGAGCAAATTGAGTGCAAATTGAGTGCCTGGTGCTTTCTTCATGTTACCTCCAACTTCCTTGCATTCCTATTGGGATAATGGCATTCACTTCCATGGCCTTGATAGTTTCACCAAGCTTTTCTCCATAGCAGAAGTCTATATTACATGTTGAGTACAACTCCAGGTACATAGGATTCTCAATGGCCCATAAAGCAATCTTAGAAAGGAGCTAAGAAATTGTAGGACTTGATATATACAAGCAGAATAGGACAGGGACGGTAGGCACCAATGTGCCTACCGTCCCTGTCCTATTGTTTCTCTTATTCTTTTATTTTTCTTATATGTACCCATTTCATGTATTCACAACTATGTATACACTTATACTTATTATCTTGTAAACAATTGGCAAATCAAATAAATAAATAAATAGAATATACTACAGGTAAACAGAAAAAGACATTTTTTAAAAAAATTCTCCTACTGCAGTCCCATTCATTGGCAACATGCCTTGCATGCACTTCTGCTTTTAGGTTTCTAACCACAACAATGCCACAATGATAATATCATGACACATAATCCACTCTTTTATACTTGCATTGCAGTATCTTGCGACATTACATGCCCTTTCTTGATTTCTCTGCACAATGTGTTTTAATTCTAGTTCTGATCATAATATACACATCCTTGGCTACAGTCAAAACTTTTTGCAAATATTATTTACATTTACAACTTTAACATAATATGTAATATAAATAATGTTCAAAGAATTCATGATATGCAAAATTATAGGAGAACTTTGCAATGATTGATAAATTTATTTAAACTATTGTGTTCTTAATTTCTACTATGCAATTTAAAAGTTTATGTACATTGGGTTTTTTTTAATCTAAAAAATGTCAAGTGCCTTTGACTATTTCCATATACTATTTTTAGGTGTTGGCCAGTGTCCATCCATTTCATCCTGCACTACATCTTGCACAGGTATGACTTATTATGTTTTAATGACATTAAGGACATCATATCCAAATGAGTATGACAAGAATTAACAATTGATATCTGCAATTCTGCACAGACATAAATGCCACATGAGTCAATATGATTTAAACTTTATGTCCAAGTATCAAACTTTAATCCAGTTTATGATTAACTGCTCTTGAATTGTGATTAATGTTTCAAGTTTTATAATGTTTCAAGTTTTATAATGAGAATCATAAAAATATTTCTCCTGTTGTCTTGAGATACATATCATTTCCTGTCTTTTTCACCAGGCCCTAGAAGTTGATTTGTGACCTGCTGTTGATATTGTTTTTGACTAATCTATGTTTTGAGGGTCCCTGAAATGGGTGGGAAGTTTTTTAGTTTGTCTAAAATTATTATTTTGCTGCTGTTTAATTTTGAATTTACTATATTGTTCTATGCCATCTAATGTTTCAGTACCTGAGATAGCTTGTTCATTTTTTAAAAGAAATATAATGAAAAGTAACAAATTGCTTTTGTATTGCAAATGTACTGTATTGTACTGTAATTTGTATTACAGTATTGCTACTGTAATGGGCCCTGTCCCTGCAATGCCTTTTTTTTTTTTTTTGCTGTTACTTGCTTAAACATTGTGATGTCATAGATTGGCAAGGCTACCTTAGATAAGTCAGCTGCAGGCTTGTGAAGACTAATCACAAATGCTGGAATTCTAAAGAAAACCTATCAACTTATTTTTGAAGAAGATCAAAAGCACAAAAACTATCAGTAACCTAGGATAAACATCTGACAATCAGTTCGACCATTTTGGAGGCATAGAAAAATGTTTGCAAAACAAGTATCCTGTGTTGGATTGAACGAGATTGCACAAGTTGATGCAACTGATCGCATCAATTATAAGATGTTTATACTATATCATTATCAGGTTAATCCTGAGATTAAATAATATATGTGGCAGGATATTTAGAAAAAACCTTACTCCATTTCCTTCTTTTGCCTTATGTTTTTCCTCTACATATTTCTTTGTTAACAAAGCAGACAACTGCTAACTTCCCATGGCAATGTTCACTTGTTGCTTGTTAACAGTTTCCTTCTTTCTGCAGAGAATATCACCAACCATTCTCAGATCAAAGATGAATTTCCAAGAGAAAATTTTACTTTGATTTGTCCTTTGCCCAGCAGTGTGAAAGGTTTCTATATGAAGCTGTATAAGGGCCAGAGCAATCAAGAAGTCTGTTCTCTTTATGTAGACAATGGGGAAAAAAATTCTGAAAGAACAAATGAATTCTGTGAACCAATCCATTCAGATGAAATGGTATCATTCACTCTCAGAAATTTAAAAAGCAAGGATAGTGATACTTACATCTGTTGCCTAGAAGTTCTTACTCCAGTCTACCGTTGTTGCAAATCGAATGAAAAGCACCTCTATGTTCAAGGTAAGTTGTCATTGTTTTTGAGAACACAATTAAATAAATCTAACAAAATATGATTTAACAGACCAATTCCTTTTGTCAAATCATTTTTATCTTATTTTAAAGAAAATATTTTTCTTCTTTCATCTCCTTTGGAAGGAAGGAACACTGAATTCTGGGAAAATGTCAGCAGCTCTTCTCAACAGGCAACAATAGCCTTTCTAAAAAGAGGCATGTAATATAAATGTATAAAGGAATAATACTCGTGATGTCATCACTTAGGAGAAGTCTAAATTCCACAAATCCCACTAGGTCCATGTATTTTTTTAAAAATATTTTATTGAACAAAACAATTAAAAACATTGAATATAGTGAAACTGGCTTGACATAACTTTTGGTCAATATCACATAGATATATATTTTTCTATATGCAATTATTCAAATATATACATATATATGTTCTGTCTCACCTGTGACCACGAGGTGAGAGTCCAAGTTTTCAAAGGAATATAAATAAACAGACAGGACCAGGAACGACAGAGTTAAATTCCTTTGACTGGAGAAGTCCTTGGCAGTCTTCCAAAAGCTGCCTGCCAAGTCCGATAACAAACAAGATCATAAATCAAAAGGCAAACTCCGCACAGAGAATTTGTCAAAGCTCCTATCCCAAATAAACAGATTGTCCCGAATGAGGATTCAGAGCTAACACGCCCTCTTTTATTTCCTGAGGGGTGTGTCAGTCTGTCATCTCAGTCCCTGATTTGACATTTCCTTTTATGTTGCATTTCATGCTTCTGCCTGCGTCTTTGCCTTGCATCAAACCAGCATTCCTTGGCTTGATCCTCAGCCAAGGACTCCGGCACTCTCTCCTGATTATCTGCCGACACCTGAGGCACAACCAGGGAGGAAGGTCCTGGGGAGGAAGATGATTCCGAATCTTCCAGCAAAGCAGGCTCAAACCTCAGAGCCAAATCCTCCTCTTCCTCATTACTCGAGCCTGTGTCTTCTAACAGAGCAGGCTCAAACCTCCGAGTCACAACACTATCCCTCACCGCAGGGCCCTTCCCCTGAGTCTGACGATCCGGATGTGGTTTCAATGGAAACCATTCATGGAATCTCCAGATAAGGTCCAGGGAGTGAACCATGGAAGCATCCACCCAGGAAAGAGCCTCCGATCCATCCTCTAGCCTCTCGACAAAGTATTGAAATCGTCCTTTCAGCCAGCGAGAATCCCGAATGCTGACCACCGTGTCATCAGCAGCGGGATCATCGCTGGGTACAGATGGAGAAACCGTACCAGCGGGAGAACGGAGAGTACACGATGGGGCGTCAGGAACCAGAAGGGAACGGTGGAAGACAGGATGAATGCGCATAGAGCACGGTAGGGTGAGCCGATATGCAACGGGATTGATGACCGCCTCGATAGGGAAGGGACCGATGAAGCGATGGTCCAACTTCTTGACCGGACGATCAACCCGGAGATGTTTCGTGGATAACCACACCCTGTCTCCCACAGCCAATGGAGGCGTCGCCCGATGCGAACAATCCGCGAACCTTTTGTAGTCTGCCTTAGCCCGTTCCAATTGCTGCGAAACCAATTGATGAATCAAATGCAGTTCCGACAAAAAGTCCCGCGTCTCGGGAACCGGGGAATCCAAGTTTGACAATGGGAAAAACCTCGGATGGAAACCCATATTTGCGTAAAAAGGTGTCACGTGAGTGGAGGTGTGCTGAGAGTTATTGAAGGCAAACTCTGCCAAAGGGAGGTAAGTCACCCAATCGTTCTGTTGGTGGTTAACAAAACATCGTAAATATTGGGTCAGGATGCCAATTACCTTCTCTGTCCCACCATCAGTCTCTGGATGGTGCGCTGACGACAAGCACACCTGCACCTGCAACGCGGTCATCAGGCTCTTCCAAAATTGCGCGGTAAACTGGACACCGCGATCCAAAACCACCCTGTCCGGTAAACCATGCAGACGGAACACATGTTGCAAGAATAACTGGGCAGTAGTACGAGCCGACGGTAACCTCCGACAGGGGATAAAGTGGGCCATCTTAGTTAACATATCAACCACCACGAGTACCGTCGTATACCCTGACGAAGAGGGCAAATGCGTTAAAAAATCCATGGAAATTGCCCCCCACGGTCTGTCCGGCATCGGCAGTGGTTGAAGGAGACCAGGAGGTGCACCTGTTGCAGCTTTCGCTTGCCTGCACTGTACGCAAGACACGACATAAGCATAGACATCATGCCGGACTCGAGGCCACCAAAAAGTCCGTGTGACCAGATGAAGGGTCTTAAAGAATCCAAAATGGCCGGCAGCAGGGTTGTCATGACACTGAGTCATGATGAGGGCTCTTAAGTGTCCTTGTCGGCACATACAATCGGCCCCGATGTCATAGTAAGCCCTCCTCCAGAGTCCATGGGGAGTCAGGTCCAATTTCCCCCATTCTCTGCTGCGACCAAGCATCTAAACGCTGCGCCTCTCATATCCGAGTCCTCAAATCCACTGGTTCTTGGATAACGGCCAAAGATTCCGGTGGCAGCACCGTACGTGGAGGAAGAGGGTCCTTGGGACAGAGATACTCCGGTTTACGGGACAGGGCATCAGCTCTCCGGTTCTGACCACTGGGGATATAAGTCACAAAAAAGTTGAACCAAGCAAAGAACAACGACCACCGAATCTGTCGCTGGTTCAACTTCCTCGCAGTGGACAAGTGCTCCAAGTTACAATGATCCATCCGAACCTCTACCTTGTGCCGAGCCCCCTCAAGGTGATGTCGCCAGGTCTCAAACGCAGCCTTGATAGCCAGCAACTCTTTCTCCCAGATAGTATAGTTGCGCTCGGACAGAGTGAGTTTCTGAGAATAGTAAGCGCAGGGAAAAAGAGGGGTGCCATCCACTGGGGCTTGCAACAACACAGCCCCAATAGCCACGTTGGACGCATCTGTCTCCACCACAAACGGACGGTGTGGATCAGGATGCCTCAGGATAGGTTCTGCGACGAAGGCCTTCTTAAGAGCCTCAAAGGCCTGTTGCTGCAGGGGCCCCCACTGGAACGGGACCTTCTTTCTAAGGAGCTGAGTGATGGGATCCGTCAGCTTGGCAAAACCCGGGATGAAGGTCCGATAATAATTAGCGAACCCCAAGAGACGTTGAACGTCTTTCACTCGACGAGGGGGTTCCCAACTACACAAAGCCTCCACCTTACGCGGCTCCATGGCAATGCCTTCGGGAGAGATGATGTGCCCCAAGAACTCTATGGAAGTCTGGAAAAAGAGGCATTTCTCCAGCTTCGCATAGAGTTGATGCTCCCGAAGACGCTGTAAAACCAAACGAACATGTTGAAGGTGGCTGTCCCTAGACCTGGAATAAATCAAAATGTCGTTCAGGTACACCACCACGAACCGATCGAGCATGTCCCGGAACACGTCGTTCATCAGGTGCTGGAAGACCGTGGGAGCGTTGGTCAACCCGAACGGCATCACGGTGTATTCAAAATGACCGTATCGGGTGCCAAACACCGTCTTCCATTCATTCCCCTCTCGCATCCGCACCAGGTTGTAGGCCCCTCGAAGATCGAGCTTGGTGAAAATAGTGGCCTCCCGCAACCGCTCCATCAATTCTGGAATGAGCGGCAAGGGATAACTATTCCTCACCGTAATGGCGTTCAGCCGGCAGTAGTCGCAACACAAGCGCAAGTCCCCTGTCTTCTTTTTAACGAAAAGAAGGGGAGCAGAAAGAGGGGACAACGATGGCAGAATAAACCCCCGGGCCAAATTCTTTTCCAAGAAATCACAAAGGGCGGCCAATTTGGGCTCAGACATAGAATACAGGCGACCCTTGGACATCGGGCAGAAGGTCATAGGGTCGATGCGGGGGTAACCGATCTGCCTCCTTCTCACTAAATACATCGGAGAAATCGGAGAGTTCAGGAGGTATGGAGACGGCGGGGGCGGTGATGTCCTGGCCAGCACAGGTGTGTTGTAAATAGTCCACGCACTGGAGACTCAGGAACGAAATGGCGTTCTGCGCCCAAACCACCAGAGGATCATGTAGCCAGGCCATACCAAGAACCAAGGGGAGATGAAGGTCCGCAGTGATGTAAAAACTAATCACCTCCTCATGGTCCCCAATAACCAGGTGCAACGGCTGGGTAGTGAAATGAATGGGCCCAGCACGAAGCTCCCGACCATCAATCGTTTCCACCTTGATTGGAGGTTCCACCGCAACCAAGGGGATGTCAAAATGAGTTGCAAAAGCCTGGTCCATAAAACTGGTCATAGCCCCTGAGTCCGCCAACGCAACTGCAGGAATCCCCTCCGACCTGGACGGCAAAAACACCCGAGTGTCTAAAAGTAAATGTTGAGGGGATCCAGAGTTCACCTCCGCTACTTCGGGCGGTTGGTTGATACGTGCCCGACCTAGGGTTTCCCCAAGGCCGGGCCTGCCCCCTTTCCCGACTGATTGGGTTTAGATTCGGGCACTGGCTTGCGTGCCCCCCGTCGTTTAATAGGACAGGAATTCGCAAAATGTCCAGGCCCCCCACAATACAGGCATAAGCCTCCCTGGAGTCTCCGTGTGCGTTCTTGGGCCGTCAAAGGAGGTCGGATTGCACCCAACTCCATCGGCTCCTCGGCCCTGGCAACAGCACTGTGGGAGACCTGGGACGCTGGTTGTACAGGACGCTGTGGCCTTGAGGTGGATGGCTGCTCTGGAACGGGGCGTCGAGTCCTGCGCCGTTGAAGCCGGGCATCAATGCACAAGCATTGCACCACCAGAGCGTCAAGGGTCGGGGCCGGCTCCACATGAACCAACTCGTCCTGTATGTCCTCCGACAGACCATCTTGGAACGCGTCCATTAAAGCCGCATCATTCCACACAGAGTCCAAACAGAGCAGTTGAAACTCTGAAATGAACTCCTGCAAGGGGCGTTTCCCCTGGCGAAGTTCCTTCATGCGTCTGGCTACTGTCTGAGTTCGTATGGGGTCCTCATACATAAGTCTCAGGTGGCGCCAAA